TTTTGTTTTAAGTAATTTTTTTTCTTAGTGCAAACACTTACTTAAAATAAAAAAATTTTACTTGCTTCAAGAAAATTATTTCTTTGAGGGGTACCTGAAACATATTTATTTGTTTTAAGTAATTTTTTTTCTCAGTGTATAATATTTAGAATTCACGATGCGAAATTATTATCTTCAGTAATGTAATACGAAAGTATATCGACGAAATTTAATACATTTGAACGTACCTTAATTGTTACTTAATTATTTATCTTATTTATTGAGATATCCTTTCTTATTTAATTATTAAACAGAGAGACGGAGTTTGTCGAATAATTTTATTTTTCTTTGCAATCCTTATATTACAAAACATACTTTTCCAGACGCATTGAAAATATGCTCTATTTACATTGGATCGTCGTCTAGTTTTGTGCTAGAGATTTCTTTTTTTTTTTTTAAATCTTTACAGAAATAATATTAATTACTATTTTGCATAGGCTTTCGTATTACATATATATATATATAATTATATAGATATATTATATAATTATATATATATATTTTATATATATCATATTATATATGTATAATAATACATATCGTATGTATTATAAATATATATTATAATATATATACATATATGATTATGGCAGTACATTTACATTTAAAGTCTATAAATTTTTTTTTCTGTCACTTATAACATATATAACATTTTTTTCTCGTAATATATGAAAATCTACATACTTATGTCCTATGTGCACGAGGCGAGTACGAAAGGGGAAAAAAAAAATAAATGTTCGTGTTTTATGCATTATTAATTAAAGCATCCGTTTTTCCGCGGATACGCGTGGCTTCACGGCCGGCCGCGCACGCACAAGCATTTGAGATCTAGAAAATTCGTAAAAATAACGTGCGAAAGGTCAAGAAAGGTTCCGCCTCTTCCGTACGCTCGTATCGGAGCTCACTCAATTGCCCGCCGCGAACGCGATATTTTCGTCCCTCCGAAACGTTAGCTCCGTCGCGAGAAGTGCTCCTTTTTTTTTTTCGTTCTTTATTGCGATATGTAAGAATACGTACGAACATGTAAGAATATGCAAGAATACGAAGAAATACGTTTCACGAATCACGAAAGAAGCTTGGTAGAAGCGCTAAACTCGATTGGACCCGGTTTTACGTTGTCCTTTCCTAAAAATAAGCGACTGTGCGACTGATTCCCTTCGGTTTTGTTCTTTTTTTTTTTTTTAATTTTTGTTTCACCTCACCCGTTTCACATGCTCGCGGGAGACTCCCCTACGTACAACTAAACGTTACAAACGTCCTAGTATTGTCTAAGAGTGCTCTCTTTCACTTTCCGCTACTTCCTCACGTTCAGTCTATGTCTTTCGGTATTTATAAGAGTTCAATTTATATTTATATATGTATATTCTTAGATTGCAACGGGGGGGGGGAGGATACTCTCGTCTAATCTCTAATTTCTAAACGCCAAGCAACTATGTACATTTTATATCTCTTATTTCTTCTTTCTTCACGCCTGAATCACGTCCACTCGCTAACAAAAAGAAAAAAAGAAAAAAGGGGGAAAAAAAAATAAATCGAACACAACAAATACTTTTCTGATCGTAGATCGCACTTGTCCACTTGTTTCTTATATCTACCTAGACAGATCTGCCACGGGTAACCACCAATCCATCGTGGAAGATACAGAACGTAATGAATTCTCGTTAAAGAACAAACGTGGAGATTCTTCCGGCCTCCACAGTTCTCGCCTTCACAGTTTTACGTTATCGGAACAGGATGACGTTGTAATCATCGGTATCGCCGTCTGTCGAGCGCGGGCTTAGATCGGGGCTTTAATCGTGAAACACGTATCAAGAGGTGCTGTTCCGATGCTTCTTGCTCTTCGCCTTGCCGGGCTCGAACTCGTCCTCGCTCCTGCGTCGCTTCTCCTTCAGCTGCTTCTCCATCGCCAGCATCGTGATCATCCGCTTGTGCGAGTCGCCCACTATCCATCCGTGCTGCTCCTGCCGATCGTCCTCCTCCTCCTCGGGCGCCGGGATCGGCTCCGGCGCCTCCTCCTCGTCGCTCGAACTGGACCAGTAGTACAACTGCAGGGCAGCGGTGCGCTTGCGTCGACCGATCGCGACCCCGACCCCTTCCTCGACCTTGTTCCACGACTTGGTGGTCTTCAGCTCCTCGTCGTCGGAGTCGCGCTTCCCGCTGGACGATCTGCGCTCCTTGGAATCCTTGCTGCCCGCGGACGTCTTTCTGGATTTCTCCGCGGTCGGCTCTCTGCTCCTCTTGCTCGTCAGGATCTTTCCGTTCTCGGATTTGTAAACTTTCTTCGACTTCGCTGGCGATTTCGAGACGGATCTCTTTCGTTTTTCTTTTTCGTTCTTAGTTGGCGAGTGGCCGCCGCCGTTCTCCTCGTTACTTTCCGCAATCGAGACAGCACGGTCCGATTTGTTGTCCTCCGATCTGTCGAGATAAGACTGATCGATGTACGCTGCGCTCTCCTCGATATTCTCGTCGTCACTTCTCTTGTGCTTCTCCTTCGTCTGGTGTTTCTTCTTCTGATTCTGTCCGGAGACGGCCGTTTCCACGGTTGTGTCGCTATCCAATGCAGCATCGTCGTCATGCGCCTCTTTTCTCTTGCCGACCTCTCGCAGAATTTCCTCCTCAATCGCCTTCTGCGCCCTGGCAATCATCTGATCGTTTTTCTTCTCCATATATCTCTCCTTCCTCTTCTCCTTCGACTCCTTCTTCTTACGCGATTTGTCGTGATCGTTACTCTTCTTGCTGTTATCCCTTATGTACGATTCCTCGTCCGAGCTGCTTATTTCCGCTAGCAGTCCTTGCTTGCCTATCGCGCACTTCCTTTGTCTTCTTGTCGGCTGGAAGTCCATGAGTATCCTCTCTTGCTCCTCTCGCAATTTATCCAGCTGCTGCTGCTTTCTCTTCTTCGATTCTTGCACCTTTCTGCTGAGAAACACGTGAAGGGGAAGATTGTGGTCGGATTCTTTCTGCGGTTTCTCGTTGCTGGACAGTTTCTCGGGCAAAGCCGGAACATCGTCATCCGGTTCCTCCTTCTCATCCGGCATCTCCGTAGGGCTCAGACATTTGTTCTCCGTCTCCTCATTAACAGCTCCATCGTTAGAGGCTTCGTCCATAGTGCCGTTAACGATATCGTTCTTCTCAGCTTTCGAATTGAGATTCTCGTGCCGATCTAGAAGATCCAAGGCCTCTTCCAAGGAAATCATCTCCGATGTATCGTCTTTCGCGTTCGTAGAGGTGAGCTTCGTCTGCAAAGCCGCATTTTCATCCGACGTTTGCTTTCCAACCCTGTCCTTCGCTTCCTCGGCCGTCGGCTCCTCGTTTTCCTCGATCTCCGTCTCCGCGTCCGAGCTGTCCTCCCTGTACAGGTCTTCCAGCTCGAACGTCCTCTCGTATTGATTGTCCGCGTCGTCATCGCTGTTCCTCGCCTCGTCGGTCATCTTCCTCTCGTCTATCACCAGCGAACGATCCGACATTTCCGATTCTGATTTCGCGGCGTCGTGATCGTTTTTCATAGTGTCTTCTGGCACCACTCGATTCCAATCGTCTACGACCTGATCGTCATTGTCGAATTCGGATTCGTTGACCGCGCGTCGATCATCCGCCTCGTCGACGTCGAGCGGTCTCTTCGAACTCTTTCTCGATTTCAACGAATGTTCCTCGTTCGCGATCGCGTAATCGACGTCGTCCCGCTCGTACTCGCTCTCGGACGATGTCGACAACTCCGCGAAGAGATTCTGCTTGCCCTTCGAGCACGAGCGTTGACTCTTCGAAATGCCCACGCCGACGTCTTCCGTCTTTGCGGCCGTCCTGAACTCGTCCGAGCTGTCGTTCTCATACCACGCGTTTCTCCCTCGCTTCTTCGAGCCTTTACCTCGTTTCTTGAGCTTGCCGGATTGCTTGACGCCCTGCTCCATGGGCCGTTTTATGCGTTGCTGCTTTCTTTCCACGAACTCGTCCATCGGTCCGGTAATCGACTCGGCAATCTGCTGCTGCTGCTGTTCCTCGCTCTGGAACGACTTCAGGGCGCCCTTTGTCTTTGGCGCGAACTTCTCCAGTTCCTGGAATTTACGATTGATCATAGCGTCCAACTTGATGTCCGCGATGTAATTTGTCTTGCCGTTCTCCAGGACGGCATCCGAGTCCCCGTCAATATTCTTCGCCTTCGACAAGTTGGTCTCGTAACTCTTGTTGTCGACTTGGCTCCTGTAGGACAACACGCTACCCAGAGTGGGCGCCATTTGGCTCTCCTCCTCGTCAAATTCGTACACATCCTTTATCCTCTCCGAGTCCCCTTTCCGATCGAGAGACCCGCGGCGTTTCTTCTTTTCCACCAGGCCGCCGTAGAGCTCGCTTCTGCGAATCAGCGGGAACTCCTGCTGTTGCTGCTTCTTACTCTTCTTCGACTTGCGTTGCTTCTGCACGTTCAGTTCAACGAGCGCGGCCTTCGAGCGTTCCTGCTGCTTTCTGTCGTTCATCTCCTTCTTGCGCTCGAACAGCTCCTTGATGGGATTCCTCGTCTTCTTCGGCGAATGCTTCGGCGTCACCGCCGAGTCCTTCGTCGGCCTCTTAGGGGAAATCGAGGTGTCCTTGTCCGTCACCGCAGCCGCCGCTGCAGCTGCCGCCGTAACCGCCGCCGCGACCATCCTCACCGATTGATGATTCCTGCCGCTATTCGTGGTGTCCTCCGGCAATGTGGAGGTCGGAGCTCGGGCGCAGGCCAATTCCGCCAACAGCTTCATCGGAGTGGAACTGCGGAGTGAAATTAGTTTATAACAACTTTACTAATGAATGAAATTGTTCATATACATCGATGAACGATAGCGAGATTCATTATTAAATCGCACGTGCGATCGTGCGGTTAATTGCATAGAAAATATGGCAGTAGATGACCGTAATCATTTATTAAAAACTACTGCATTCTTGATGGCTTGTTATGCAAGTTTTGATTAAGTTAACAATGAAGCGAGCGATGAATTTTCAACGGTATTTTTCAGTCAACAATATATCTGTAAATAAAATATGAAATTAAAGAATACTTTTGTAAAGTGAGTTTAATTAGACTTAATAAATGCACTTATTAATATAACGGAATTCGTTATTCGAACAATCACCGCCGAAAATAAAATCAAATACAGAGGAAATTTTATACTGCAATAAAAAATCTACGAAAATTATTTAACTCTCACTGTGAAGTACATAATGAGTATTATTTCTTAAAGTTTTTAACTCTTTCCCTTCAATTTCCCTTTCAAACAACATTTATGTTGACAGGAGTCAATATAAATTATGCATCTAAATTAATCGATACTGCGGGAACGTCCCTCCGTTCTACTTCCGGAAGTGTACATAAGAAAGGTGTACTTATAGCCATTTCCCTTTCTTTTGAAACAAAGAGATAATTAATTCCTGGGAAAGCATGTTTGTTAGTAAATAAATTAGCAGAATAATGAACGTGGGGTACATATGACAGATGCTCGCGGTGCTATGTGTATACTAAATTCCATGTATCGCAAGGCGCTACACGTTGTCGGTGGTGTTGCGGGAGAGATCGTTCATCGCGTACAGGGTGGAGTGACGAAGGCGGATCAATACGCAACGCGAACGAATGGGCATCGTTCGACGATGGTCTCTCGACCATCCTTAGTGAAAATCGAGCGTCGAACAAGCTCAAATAATTCCAGATGGAGAAAGTAGAGGATACAACATTCGCCAGGACAGCATGGATTGTAGGCGGCGTGATTTACGTAACGTCGCACGACGGAGCTCGATTTTGGTCCCTCGCGGGAAGATAAATCCAACGCAACAGTCGACGAGGGTTAGAGAAATTTTTTTTTCAAGAAAAAAAAAACGATCGTCCTTTCGTACGCGCCAATCACACGCCACATATAGCGTAATCGGGTGCGAAACGAAACGTATGGCCGCGCAGGCAGATAAACGAGCAATCAACAGGTGTTGAACCGATGCGAAACTGAAAAATACGCTTTGATACGTGAGCCATCCTGCAAAATATAGCGAAATATTTTTTAATCACCGAAGCTCGCCGTTTCGTCGCATTTTTATCAATCTCGAATATCTTTTTGCGTTTTTATATCGAGATGTGGGATTTTAGAGAAACGTATTAAAATATTAGCATCTGCACGTAGCATCATAAAAATAGAATAATGAGCTGAGTTTCTCGTAAATACGTTAGAACAAATCGAATCTATACTTAGCGGAATAAAACAAGATTTTAAAATAACCAAGCCTGTAACGATAGCTGGCTGAGAAAATTTGGCGAGTTTATCTTAATGATGTACTTATAAATTTGAAGAACCTTCGTCTTCCCTCGAGTTCGAAAGCTTATTAAACTTATGAAATTTATCCACGTCCAACTAGAAAACTCATTATTATTATTATTATATTATAATGTACTTGTATCATGTTGGAATATTAATTTGTTTTCTCCAAATTATTCAGCATATGATAACAATGGAAATATTTATGCGGTACAGATAAAACAGATTTGACCATCAAGATACTCACTTATGATCATTCTTGCCGTTGCTGTGCAACAAGTTGGATAATGCTTTGTGTAGAGTTGAGTTCATCTTGTTCTTGTGACCCGGCGAGGACTCCTGCTCCCTATTCGACGCGACCGACGTAGACAGCTGCTCGTGTTCGTGTATACTCGAGGAGTACGAGTTCCCAACGCTGTCACGCTTGTCATCGTCGGGATGATCGTTATCGTTGATCTTCTGGCCGAAGATCGTCTGTGTGCTGGCTATCAGATTCTCGCTCTCTCTCATGCGCTGCTGGATCTTGTCCCGTAGTTTGTTATTGTGCTCGAAAGCTACGTCCAAACTGTCCTCGTAACCGAGATTGTCGACTCGCGATGTATCCGGACTGGCAGATCTGCTCGATCGTTCGCTACCGCGCGTCCGATAGCTTCTGTCGTGGCTGTTGTACATGGCTGTCTCCTCACCAAGCAACTAGAATTTCCAAGCAATGTTATATCTTACATCGTCTACTTTTCTTCATAATTCTGCTCTTAATTCTAAAAAAGCTAGATATAAAATTGTTTATCAAGTGATTCATATTTAATCAAATATAATTACTTTTAATAAATTTTATAACAAAAAAGTTTAAAACTCATAATTACATTTACCTAAAATTTAAAGTCAATTCTTTCAATTAATCAAATAAAAGATTTCATTTAATTTTTTAAATATGTACATAATCACGATTTTAAATGATTTTATGATTTATTGTTGATTAATTCGCAGAAAGATTAAGATTTATTTAATTATCACTAAACAGCTCGGATTAATATGAATAATACATCTGGCTTGCATACAAAATGGATTCATTAATATAATTAATATATAATTAATGATTCATTAATTATATATTAATAAGTTATTCAAATATAAGAATTTCTAACGTATAATACTCACTTGATTCACCGACTCCAAAAGACTACCGAGACTATTTTGGCTCTCCACGTCCCTCCATCGGTCTCTATTGATCCTGAACTCCTGCGGTTGATCGTCCCGCCTGTGATACGACTCCGTGTGATCGAGCTTAATCTTTTTCGCGCCTCTCAGCTCGTTCTCGCTCGTCTTCAATCGCGAGCAACACTCCACGAAGAGCACCTGGTCACGGTTAAGAATCTTGCCTTGCCGCTGCTCCGTCGCCGACTCGCTCTCCCTCGGCACATCCAAAGCGTTGTCCTCGATCGCGTCTGTCGGCGCGATCGTCACCACATCCGATCTGTGGCCCAACGACGGCGATCTGATGATGATCTTCTCCCCGGAGAATTCGGTAGGATTCATCTTCCTGGAGTTATCCTCGTGCATTACGCGCTCCCCCTCTTCTTCCTCTTCCTCCTCCTCCTCCTCCTCCTCCTCGTTGGAGCTACTTTCCATCGAGTTGTCGGGAGTTTCGCGAGCGTAGAACGGCGACATTCTTCGCTCGAAATCGTTGTCGTCGTCGTCATCCTCCTCCTCCTCCTCCTCTTCCTCCTCGACGTCGTCGTTATCATTGTCATCGGACTTTTGATTCGTCTGAGAATTTCCGTCGAGCTCGGCCAATTGATTCTTCATTATTGGTCCTTCGGCCGCTAAACTGCTGCAACTACGCGACGATATCGCAGACTCCTCGTCCTTACGTTCAATTTCCTTCTCGGTCGCTTGATCGTCCTCCTGATCGAATTCTAGATTTCTCGCTAAACGTTTCCAGTCTTCATTGACGATCTTTCTTTTGTTCTTTCTGGAACTTGACCGATCTAAATGTGTTAGCAAATTGTCTTGATCTTTATTCATGTGCCTCGAAACAATTGAGTCGTAGTTAAAGGACTCGTAAGCGTTATCGTTGATTAAAGTTTTCGATCGAGTCCTCGATTCGGTTGCAGATCGTATCGTTTGATCGTTTTGCATTTCGTTCTTCGTTTCCTGATCCGTCGAAGGAATTGATGGCTCATTATCGGAATCCATTAAAATCCTTTTGTTTGTTTTTGTCTTACTTATTTTAATCACGGTGGAATCCTGCCTCTTGTGACTGCTTGAGTCCTTTCTGGACCTTCCGCGTCCACCATGCGCTCCACTCTGTTCCTGATCTATCGAATTGGCGTTCTCCCAGGTGTCTTCCTCCTTCTGTTTGACACTCTTCGTGTTATCCGAACGATTCAGATCTTTCGGCTCGTAGAACTCGATCTCCTGCTCCTTAGAAATCCCGTGCGTCTCGTCGAGGACCTGATCGTTGGAAAGGCGCGATGAAGTCTCGTTGTCGGAATACATCTGAAGATAGAGCTCTCTTCGGATCATCTCGCTGGCTCTGGTCTTGCTCTCCCTCCGCCTATGCTTGAATACACTGGACTGCGACGGTGACGAAGAACGCTCGTTAGCATCCTGCTTTTTACGATGGCCGGAGCTATTTTTCGACTTTCCATGAGCATCGTGAGCGACTCGAAGACTCTCCCAGTTCTCGGAGGTCAAAATCTTATCCTTCGTTCGCTCCTTGGTCGATTCTTTCTCGTGATACTCGTTATTAATTTGATCGCTCGTTTCCCTAATTTTATTGTCTTCGTCCGAAACAGCTGGCGACTCGTCGTCGAAGGTCCTCAGGGTCTTCTCGTCCGTCCTGATCTTGCTCTCTCGGTGCCTTCGCTTGGCCGGATTGACGGGCGACCCGATACTATCCTCGGGCACTGATTCAACGTCCTTCTCTCGCTTCTTCCGATTCTTCGCTTTGCCGTGAACCTCACTGTCGCACTTGTCGTTTCCCTTCTTTCCAGAATGGCACTTCTTCTCCTTCTTGTGTCCATTCTCGGCGAACTTTGTCGGTCCGCGTAGACAGGCTCTCGCATCCGAAGCACCCCTGGACATGTCCGAGTCGTCTTCTGATCGTGACACCCAATCGTTCAACACCTCCTTCACCTTGTCCGCCTTCTCGCCGCCGAACACTCGGCCGAATACGCTCTTGACAATCTTGCTCTTGCTCGAAGCAGCAGACTCGATCCTGTCATCCTCGTTCTCGCTGTCACTTGACAGTTTTGCGACTCTGACCTTTTTCTTCTTGCCCTTGGACGTTTTCAATTTTTTGTAATCAGTTTCTCGTTCTTTGCTCGTCGACTTTCTGGATAATTTCTTGCCAGATGATTCCAATCGAGTCGCCTTTTCATCGCAAATGCTATCATTCTCTAAATCACTTATCACTTTTTGAGATTCGTGAGAGCTTGCGATGAGAAGAGATTTATCGTCAGTGACTGACGTTCTCGCTTCGTCCTCGCCTTCCGAATCTGACGAAAGTTTTGTTTCGACAACTTCTTCGGGCAGTTCCTCTTTTGACTTTGCTTGTTTCTCCTCTGAGACATCTATTAATTTTGAAACTTCAAAACTCTCATTGTTGACGATTGCTTTTGATTCAGCCGATCTCAAATCATCGATCGGTACTTGTTCGGTATTTTGTGAAGGAAGCTCGGCTGAAGTTTCGGTCGTTAGATCTGTCAAAACATTCACGCTCGTATCATCACGTTTATCCTCTATACAATTTGCATCGTCAACATATGTGTTTGTTTCTGATGGCATTTCTGACATTTCGACCTTCTCTGATGGAATGTTAAAGGCAAGCGTATTCTCACAATTCTTTACGATGTCGTCTGTCTTAATATCCGTCGCTTCTATTCTCTGCGCCGGTCGATCTTCGGTAACGTTGAGCTCGGTGCTTCGAATTTCCTCAGCATTTAATAAATCTTTTTTCATTTCCGGTAAACTCGATTCCGGCGTATGATCTTGAACGGCAGACTCCGCGTTGGGTATCAAAGAACTGATCGATGTAATTTCTTCGATAATCGTTTTAGGAGGCGATTCAATCACGTCCGTCTTTTCTTTTATTTTATCATAATTTGATTTCGTCGATTCGCAGGTACTCTGCGAATTATCTGCTTGTACTGAAGAATTGTTTGCAATCGGTACAGGATTTTTCCTAGGCCTGCCTCTACTTCGTTTGAGAGGCAGACATTTGACTTGAGGCTGCTCATTTTCATCAATATGCGACGGCTTGCCGGCCTCGTCAATATGCTCTGTATGCGAATCTAATTTTTGATCCTCGATTTTTGATTCGTCAAGATTGCTCGCAACGACAGCATCATTTCCGTCAACTTCGGGTTTCGCGTGAGCTGAAGCGATACTGGAATTCGGAACAATTCGATTTTTTGTCCTCGGTCTACCACGTTTCCTTTTCTTAGTGTCGTTCATCGAGTCGCTCTTCGATTTCACGACTTCCGCATCTTGGGGACTGTTGTCGTGTATCTTATCCTGTGTGTCATTCTTATTCGTTTCTTCTTCCACTTCGTTCTGTCTCTTTTGCACATCACGGCTATCTTCTACCTCGTCACTGTTAATCTCCATGGAGGTGTCCATAAAGTATATATCAGCTTCGACGTCAGACTCTTCGTAATGCTGAATATTTTTACTTCTTCTGGGCCTCAGACTGAAACGATTTGTCTCAGTTAAAGCTGAAGTATCTTCTTTTTCATCATTATCCATTCTGGAGAGTTTTCTCAACGTTCTCCTGGTAGTTCTCGTAGATTCTGTTTGCTGTTCAGCCTTCGCATCAATGTCGCATGCTGATTTCAAATCGGTTTCCTCGTTCGACGATGTAACAATTAATTCTGCCTGATTCTCCATGTCAGCACATTCTTTAGAAACATCTCCAATCTTTTCTACCGTCTCCGTTATTTCTTTCGAAGTATGATTGCAAGATGGAGAGGAAACTTGCATAACATCGTTAGTTAGCTTTGGAAGCTCGTCCGAATCGATTTTAGATTTTTCCAATTCAGGAGAGTCCAAGAGCAAATGTTCTTCCGCCAGGTTTCTCTTCTTCGACTTGTTCCGCTTCTTATCGCCGTTTTTGCCTCGTCCTGAATTCTCCTGCTTCTTTTGGACGGGCTTGATCGGCGTCGACGACAGCATCGGCTCCTCCGGCGTCACGTGATCAGTCAAAACGTACTCGTCGTGGCTCATGTTTTCGGTAATCTTGCAAATCTCTTCGTCCAGCAGTTTATCCTCCAACGTTTGTCTCGTGGTACTGAGATCCACGAGAGATTTCGTCAATTCCGCGCTAGTTGCGAAAGGAACGTAGCTCTCGTTCGGTTCTAAAGACTTTCGATCGATTTCATGAGATTGAGCGTCTTCAATTTTCGTCTGTTGATCGTTCTCGTGATTACTCTTCCATTCGTCATCATCCTCTTCTGCATTCTCGAACGTATTGCTGTTAACAGACTCGACTTTGTCCTTGGTGGATTTTGTCAACTGCGATAAATGCGACTGTGACAACGTGTGCTTTTTCAGAGAGCTCTTGCGAGTGAAGCTGGTAGCGCACACGTCGCAGAAGAACCTCGCCGCCTCCTTCGTTAGTTTCTTCCTCTTCTCCACGATCAGGATCTCACCGGTCTTTGTGTGCACCACCACAAAATTGCCAGCCGCGCGTTTCTTCGGAGTGACCGTATTATCCGAAGAATCATGATTATTCGACGCCGGTCGTTCTAAAGTGGCGTCCGAATCTTTGTTCTCTGTATCGTCCGTTGGCTTGTCCTCGTTTTGTAGATTCGACGATTTTTCGGTGAGTTCGAGCTCTCGTTCAATGTTCTCCAAGGCTTCCGTATTTTCTAACGAAGCTTGAATGTCCATCGGAATTTCGATGTCATCCGCGTCGGAGAGATCAAGGTGTTCTTCGAGCAACGATTTGCTCTTGTTCGGGCTTTCTTTCCTTTTCAGATTTTGCTTATCGCCCTTCGGAGCTGTCGAATCCGTGAGAGAGGCGTCGGCGCCATCATCAACTACCGTTTCCTCTTTCCTCTTCTTCTTCTTCGCGAATCGTTTCTTTCTAAAGTAGCTGGACTCGCTGACGCACGAGCTCTCGGACAGATCGTCCGTGCTCTCGGCACTCTGATTTCGAATGTTAGACTCTTCAAGGTCCCCGCTCGACAGTTGTGTCTTCTTCTTTAACATAGATCTCGTCTTGGTTGAAGATAGAGTGAGCCCGATCGAACCTGAAGAATTCGATCTTTCAAGCCTCTTCGCGTTCGATTCTTCCTCGATAACAGATTTCTCTGATTCTTTTTGCTCCTCGACTTTCTCCTCGATCGAGCTGGGTATCTCGCTGGTCTCCGCGGGTTCCTCGTTCGTCCGAGATTCTTCCGGAACGCTTCCGCCGTTCCAGCGTCCGCCGTCCTCGGACTGTGACTTTTTCTTCGGGCCCCGTTTCTTCGCGCTCTGCACCAGATCTTTCACTTCCGGTATTTTGAAGGGTTCTAAGCTAACGGATAATCGTTTGCTAGAGTCTACAATGTTAGATTCATCGTCAAGTTTCGAAACAACTTTGGCAGGTTCGTCTTCCGGTAGTTCCAAATGCTCCTCGGCCAGTGACTTCTTTTTCGCACCACGTTTTTTCGTTGTTTTTGAGGGCGTTGGATTAACGAGATTTGAATCATCTGTATTTTGTGTCTCTTTATGTTTCCCAGACGTTACTTCCGATTTTTCTAAAGGAACGTCTGAGTCACTAGTAGTCCCAATTATTATCGGTTGCACATCAGTTGAATCCAAAGATTCTTTCGTGGTGGATAATGAGGATGGTATCTTCTCTGTATCGTTCATCGATTCTACTGCAGTTTGAATGATATTTGTGGTAGCATCTATCGAGGAAGTTATAGACAAGACAGACTGCGATTTTCTCTTCGACATACGCCTAGTTGAAGACTCGTTCGTATCGATTTGATTCTTTTTCTGAATCTTATCCGCAGATTTTCTACATTCAGCGCTTTTCTCGATTGATTTTGTCGACCGAACATTGGTAACAGCATTTTCTTCGGAAATTACTTTGTCCAGGGTTTTTTCTAAGTTCGTCAATAATTTCGTATTTTCACAAGCCGCTTCTGGAAGATCGGTAAATTTTTCTAGACTCGATTCGTCGTTACCTTTCATGAGATTCTTTTCTAAACTTGACAACTTCAAATCGTCCTTGATAATTTCACTTTCGCTGGATTGAAGCGGTTGCGACTTTTCAACTTCGATATCTGCGTTTGTAGTATCCATGATGCTACCATCTTTCTCTGAAAACTCATTTCCAACATCGGACTTCAACGTGTCGTTAGACCGGCATTTTTTCTGTCTATTATCTTCTTCAGTGCGATCTTCGACGATTTCAAGTGATCTTTTTTTATTTTTCTTAGAGAATCTTGCATCGTTCAGCGATCTTTTATTGGATTTTCTCTTGGATTTCGTGACACCTTTCTTTCTTTCAAGTTTTTCTAAATTTTCTTTTTGCATTGACAAACGTGAAATTGAATTATCAGTCAATGATGCAGGACTCTCGTCTGGAATTTTTATCGGAGTAATTGTTTCTTTATTCGTTATCGATTTATTCTCGCACGATTCGACATGCGATTTCTCAACGGAGCGCATTGCATCACTCACCTTTTTATCCACGTCATCCTCGTCCTTCATCTCAACATTTAAAATATTATCTGTCTTAGTTTGATTTTCGCTTTGAGCTTCAATCTTTGTTGCCAAGCTTCCCTCGAGTTTGTTTGAAATCTCCAAAGAGTCCATTGGACGTTTAGAAATCATGCTCTCAACATTGGTTTTATCGTTTTCCAACGCTCGAATTTCAGGATCGACAATCGCCGGCAGTTCCTTGTCTGCGGATGTAACTGTCACACTTTTATCGTTGTCTCTCTTCGAAGCGTGGCTTGCCTCGTCGGAATTCGCGCTCTCTACATTATCAGTCAAGGTGGGCCCGACCTCGTCGAGGATGCTAGTTAACTCATCGGCCGCGGTGTCAAGCAAGGAACCCACCTCACCTTCTAGCAGAGCGTCCTTCTGCTTGGCTATTTTCGACACAATTTTCTCTAAGAAAGAGCCTTTGCCCTTGGGTTTTCTTCTGGATAAATCGAGGATGATATCGTTGGCTGGCGAACACGCCTTAGTAATTGCAACTTTTGACGGTACCTTTCCGTCGGCGAAGGCATTCTCGACTTGCGCTTCATCAGGACAAGTAGTATTCTTGTCACCGTCCGCGGGAGAGTTATCGGTCGTGCTCGTCGCCGTAACGGCTTTATTCTCCGCCGATTCTTCTCCGTTCTTGGTGAGGACCGCAAGCTCGCTGAAAGCTGAGTCTACCGCGATCACGTTGCCCTCGCCGCTGCTCGGTTGTTGCGTGCTTCCGTTCCGCGCTATCCTATCCGGATTGTCCAAACTAGTCTGAACCGTGAGCACCTGCACGTTCTGCTGCGCCTCCACGGGGATATTCATGCCCTCCGTCAGAATACCGATGACGTTGTTCAAGGATCTCTTCCTTGACGACTTCTCGCGGCCCGCGCCCCTCGTCTTCTTGGGTCTCCCTACCTTCAGCTTGCTCGTGACGTTCACAGACGTTTCCAAAGAGTTTTCTTTGCCGCTGTCGATGGACAGATTGCTCGTCTCCGACTGCAAGTGACTCAAATTGATATTCACCGCTGTCGAATCTAAGCGATCGTCGGAATTTTTATCGCCCTTGCCTTCAGTTTCCTTCTTACGGTCTTTATCACTGACTTCCTCCTTCTCAGCTTCCTTTCCGCTTGACGAGGGATTTTCGCTGCTACTGTGTTCTTCGGACGCGCACAAGTTAGTCTCTTCATCTTCGTCAATCGATCTGTTGCGACTGCGACGTTTTCCCAGCGAGGATTTGCCCTTTCGAGAGCTATCGCTTGCGATTTCCAAGGAAGATTCGCCCTTGGCATCGCTCAACGATCCTCTCGTTTGTCTGCCGTGGTCGGTTTTGCCTTTCATATCCGGATTGTCAACCGCGGTCTCCTTCGTTTTCGCTGCTCTGTCTCTTTTGCCCTGTTGACTTTTTTCATTTTGTGCCACACTGGCAGTCGCGTTGCTAGTCAAATCCTTCTCTAGATTCGTTTTCGACATCTTGTCATCGCCCTTCTTCTCAACGTTTTTCCTGGATGATTTTCTAGTAGCTTCGATCTTCTCCTTCTTGTTCACGTCCTTCGATCCGTCCGATTCGTCATCGAGTTCCCGCGGACTTTTGTCGCTCACTTGAAGCGTTTTCGATCTTGGTGTGCATTGCCTCAGGCTGCGTTTCGAGTCATTCGCGTGTTCCAGCGTACCTAGGAGATCGTCCTTGTTGAACTGAAACATCCCTCGAGCCGAACGCAACAGTTTCTTCACCTCGAATGGCATGTCCGACAGTTTCGCGAAATCTTTGTCTACTGCTGTTTTCGAATTGCTTCGAGTTTCCTTCGTCACTTCTTCCTTCTTCGGTTTATTAGATTCTTTTTTGACAATTGCCTCTTTCTTTGATATTTCTTCTTTGTTATTTTCATCGCTATTAGAATTTACCGGTAAATTCTTCCTGCCTTTCGTTCTATCATCTTTTAACATCGCTACGTTACTTTTGGAAGCTTTATTTTCTTCAACTACATTAGTTTTCTTTCGTTTTGCCGTGTCTTTCGTCTCTTCCTTCCGTTTTCTTCCTCTCGTCGATTTCTGTTCCTTTTTGCTCTTTTCAGGAACGGCCTCAACGTCGGCCTCGATATTCCCCTCTTTCTCCTTTAAAACGCTCTTTGTGGGAATTCGAGATGCCTTTTGATCCTGTAGAGAACCTGACGATGTAACTGGTGACAAAATAGGCAGATCGTTCGTCACTTTATCGGAATAATCCTCGTTGGAGGAAACGATCTGTAAGACTGGTTCCAAAGTCGGCATCTTGTCGCTATCCGACGAGAGCCGAGTGACTCTTCGTGGCAGCTGAATCGCCATCTTTTTCAACTTCTGCGCTCTCAGCTTAGGCTTGATCAAGTCGGCAGTCTTGTATTTTCCGTCGTTCGTTTTCGCCGGCAAGCCTTTATTTGGATTGCGGGCGAACTTACCGTCCTGCGTTCGTAGCTGCGACTTTGCCTTGATAGAGGCGTTCAAGGACGCCACTGGGTCCACAGGACGCCTTCTCTTCAGCATACTTTGCGTCACTTTGCTTTTGTTTTTTATCGCAGAAATCGTCGATCTCTTACTATCGGAGCTGTCGTCGTCTTTATCAATCGCTCTCGTCTTTACGTTCTTTGGTGTATTCTTTGGGGAGGATGCCTCCTCGCCTTCGCTCTTCGTCTCGGGTGTAGCGCCGTTCTTGAACTTCGCGAACTTTCCCATCGATCTCGCCAGCTTGTTACCGTTTTTTCTTTGAAGTTGCGGGTTCTTCACGTTCCTCCTCTTGCCGAGAATTTTAGGTCGTCCGACGGCTCTCGGCCGGACAGCTCTGTCATTCTGATCCACGGCCTTCCCGGTCGTCCTGGACGAACCTTCATTCGTCTCTTTGGCATCCTTCTTAGCTTCGTTCTCGATTTCGGCGCTCTTGTTGACATCGCTGTCCGATCTCTTCTCGGTCTCGTGACATTTCCTCACGACACTCTCGATCACCGCGGCGATGTTGTCGCTACGACAGCGATTCCGCTGAATCGACTTGGCGTTCTTCAGCAGTTTGTTCCTCAGGGCGGCTTTGTTGCGTGAGATTCGGGACGAGTTGTCGCCGATTATGCAAGCCCTCGTTCTAGTCTGCACCTGTTTCAACAAAGTCCAAAGATGCCGCTAAAAGCTTTTGTGCTGACGAATTCAGATTCGTTATCATTGGGACAGAATTCTAAGCTGCTATCTCCAGGAAGTTAATGTAACATTTTCCTCATTTTTTATTTACTGTTTACTTTTGCATAAGGATTCAAAGTAGAAATATATAAAAAATGTTAAAGCAAAAAGAGCGGTATTTTTATCGGAAAGAAAAATAATAAAACGATGGCAGCATAAAAGTCGCCCTACCTGTGTGAACGATCATAGAAATATGTACCTCGACAAACGCGTATGTCAACTAATCGATGCCTCCGCTCGTGTGCGACGAGGCGCGCAAGGTAATAACGCTCTATCATTATTTCGACGAGTCTCGAATTTTTCGTGATTCTCCCTCGATTATTTGGCATATTCGTGTCACCCGGATCGACTGGCGGTGGTTTCGTTGCTCACGTAATTTATCTTGATAATATACAAAATTATGTCAAACTGTAACTACATTTCAATCGGTCTCGTTTATCATTTCACGTTTATTCTGATTTTTCTGCCCGTAGGGTATTTTAAGGAAATGCGCGAGTTTCTCGGATAATGAAAACTGAAATGTAATTAACGCTAATTGTAAACGGCGAATCGAGGAAGAATCGTTCTAAGCAGCTTTTCATTAAACAAGTTTAATTTGAATATTACGACACGTGTGATTTTCATCGAGATAACTCGGAAGAATAACATCTACTATTGTATTACCACGAAACCTTTATATAGACAGCCCATTAACGTTAGATATTACGCTGTCGTACGACATCCTAATTAAATCAGTCGGCTATTATAATCGCCCTTTATGATTCGAATATCGATCCAATTTTGATCGAGTGTATTATTGAGACAAAGTCATTGTTTTACGCTATTAAATTACTTACGTTACGAAGTCGACCCTGCGATCGCATCGCGTTGTCCTGCAGAACCTTCCTCGTAGCTCTTTTAGCCGGCAGATTGGCTAGCATTTTCTGGATACTCTCGCCTAAGAACAAATTCGAGCGGTCGTGAAGCTACATATATTCAAATATGCCGGCTCGCTAAATTCCCGTTTAATATCTAAGATAATTAAATCGTAAATTCGCATAAATTCCTCTAAGTTCCTTTTCCGGATAATGAGATTTAAAAATCGCAAACAAAGACCACATACACCGTGCATCGACACTTTCTGATTTGCAATTCATGTAAAATTATGTAAAAAGATAATCTCTGTATCAGAAGATAATCTACTTCGTAAAAAGCGCATCATTTTTTTATAATGTGCTTCTTACGTCTTCGACTCGTTTCCTGTATCTTATTTGTTCATGAACACAAAGCTGTTACACAAAGTGCGCGGAGATAAGGAGTGATATGGAAAAGCTGGAGCGTGGATCTCACGCGAAGCATTATATCGTGTTGAAAGCGAATTTCGTTCTTACGGTCGCTCGGGCGGACTCTAGGGCCGGTCGGTGCCTGTTTCTCCTTGGACCGCTCCGCGTTGACGATCCGCGGCTGCGTCTGCGAGTTCTGTATATTTCTCTTCATGCCGCGCTGACGCCGCCGACGGCTGCGGCTGCCGAACGGCCGCCACTTGCACTTCTTCTTGCCGCTGCCGGTGAGACCGAGCAGCCAGGCCTGATCGCCGCCGCACTCCAGCATGTGGCGATGCAGCTCGCCCATGCTCGGGCAGCTCTTGGCGCATTTGGTGCACACCATCTCCGTGAGGATGGCGTCGCGCACCCCTTCGGTGGGCGCGTCTCGTCCCGGCAGATACAGGTGATTGTAATGCTCGCGCTGGTCGCCGGCCAGGTCGAAGTGCGAGCACAGGACGCGCGGATGCGTGGAAGCCTTGTGATCCTCCATCTCCTTGAGCGTCACCTGCGCAGGAATATCGACGGGTCAGATCGCATCTCCGTGTAACATTTCGTTTCGTCTCTCGATTTATCTCGAATGTCGAACGCAGTGCGTATTCGATTCTTGTAAACCAGATTAACGCGCGACATAATGAAGATGTATTTATATCGGGGGGGGGAAAACCGAGGAATTCGACACAAAAATAAGTTATTTATCTACGTGCTACATTGTCGAGGGAAATTCCTCGGTTTTTTCCCCGACAATACAGCACATAGATAAATAACTTACTTATATGTCGCTAAAACGCGGTAATAAAGACGAATTTCATTCTGTGATTTAGTTTCATAGATTTTATTAGATAAATCATTCGCTTTATATGCAAAAAAAAAGGAGTGAAGAGGTCATTGTAGAGACAAAGTTGCGCGAGTGAGTCGGTGATTTGGAAAGCTCATTGCAAACGCTTACCATTCGGTTCGTATGTATCGCCCGAATGTCAAAGATCAAGTACGTTGCTTGATAAATTATCTAGACCGCGTCCGCACCAATTAAAATGCACCATTTGCAACACGAGAATAATATCTAAAATTATCTCAAAATCGTATGTAAAAGCTTGCATGTCTTTTATAATTTACGGTATTTTAATCTTTTGTCAGTCGCTTTAAAATTTATCACTTCCTTGAATAAAATCATAAAGTCTTACATTAAGTTCAATTAATACATTTTGAATATTATAATTGGACGATTAAACGTTTTGCTCTTATTCGCTTATAATAGTGAATTAGAAATCTTATCAAATATATTCATCAAATCGCTTAATAAAAGAACCATAAAAAATTTAATACCTCAAAATAATATCGGATCGATTATTGATGATTCGATTAGAGAAACAAAACTGAGAGAACAAGAGATAAATAAGGAACAACTGCGTTTGCCGAAAATAAAAGCGAAGATTTAAATGATTACAATTATCGACAATTATAATTTTTCTCGTGATGTTTCTTATCCACATTTCTTTTTAAACAAATATGAAGAAATTATAAAGAAGAGATGTATATATAAAAGAGCAATAATATATACTCACGTGTCTGGAACCGCAAGCGCCGCAGATGTAGATCCGCAATCGCGACCATTCGCCGCTCAGCTCAGCGTAAACGACCTTCTGAGCATTGGCGACCTCGCTGTCGCCCTTCTCGCACTTCCTCAGTCTCAAAAAGTCTGCGAATTCATTAGTGAATTCCGTGACAACCGTCGGGCTCGACGACGTTGCAGTTGCGGACGATTCGGTTGTCGTCTCCTTCTTGGTCTCGCTCGGGAGCGGTTCGCCAACGTCGCAGCGGACGACGTCGAGAGTCGTCGCACCCGCGTCGACCGCGCAGCCGGCATCAGCGGCGCTGTCCTGATTACTCGCTGCCGTCTCGACGACCGGCTCGATCCGTTCCTGATCGCTGAGAGGTAATACCTCGGTGGTCTCGCAGGATAGCAACGGGGTCTGATGCAGTCTGCTGATGGTGAGGCGCTCCTTAATCAGCTGCTGCTTCTTCCGCAGCGACAGCTGCGTGGAGATGTCGAACTTGCTGAGATCCTTGATCGAGCACGTCCACTGCTCCCTGCCGTCGTACTTGCGCGGGAAGTTGTACTTCTCGAAGGAGACCCGACGCGGCCGCGAGCCGCTGCTCATTTTGCCGGCCTTCCGGGCGTACTCGCTCGAGTTCTCGTACTCCTCGCTGGCCGGGTACTCCTTACTGTAAACCGGCGTCGCCGCGGTCAGGGAGATGTCGATGGGAAATTGGATCTGATTGACGCTGTGCTCGTAGTACGACTGCTGCGTCTGTTGCTGCGGCGATTTTGATTCCGTCGTCGCCATCGCCGTCGAGCTTGAGGTAGCAATCGATGACGCGCACGTCGACGATGGCTGACCGCTTGTCGTCTGCAGCTTGCCGTCCAGGTGGTGAAGCAGATTCTCGCGGATGTTGCAGCTCACATTGCTGTAGAAGGAACTGTCGAACTCGGGACTGGCCGGATTGTCGATGGGCTCTCGCGTCGCGATGAGTTTCGTCCGGTTACTGTCCATCCGTCGACTGTTGTCTTGATCCTCCGGTTCTTTCTCTTCGGATCTTCTCTCTCTGCCTGATAACATGTTAACCTTTTCGCGCAGATTTTGACCACAAAAGTCCTTGTAGGGCGGCGAACCTTCTTTGATCTTTTCCGACTGAAAAGAAAAAAGACGTACTTATCTAACAATGGATCACTGGTATTTTCACCGAGGAAAGAAAAATTTTTTGAGTCTAAATAAAAAAGTGACGGTATTCTCGTTGATATATCGATTTGTTACAATTATTTCTTTACTCTTCTTATTTAGATTTCTCCGTCCTTCAGAATATAATGCCACGACTCACTTATTACTCAGTTACCTTGAGATTTGTTTTTGTTTATAATTCTAGCTTCTCTACCACAGTGAAATAATACATTCCTCGATTTTAAATTTTTAAGTTTTTAAAAATTATAGATATAGATTTTGTAAAAAAAAAAAAAAAAAAATATCTTGATAACTAAAATAACTAAAATTAAAAAAAAATTAAATCGTTTTAAAAAATTGTTTAAAAATATGTATATTTTTAATAATAAAATAATATCAGTAAGTATTTAATAAATAAGCCATAAAAATGGAAAAAATGCAAGATTAACCAATTTTAAGAGATTTAATAATTTTTGACATCCAATAAATATCGGAAATATTAAAAAATATTTAAAGCGTTTACGTATATTCTATTCTAAATAATATGAAAGAGAATTTACATCGATTTTTCGCGACATTTACCTGAATCTGGCCGGATATCCTCTCGCCGTTTCCCCCGTGGGTCTCGCTCATGTGCGCCACCAGGGCTTCCCGGGTGAGATACCTCGTCAGACACTGAACGCACGCGTGATATTTATCCCCGTGACTACCGACCATATGTTGAAACAGCGCCTCCAGGGTATCGGCAGATTTCTCGGAGCAGTACTGGCAATTCTGGGAGGGTTTTCGGAGATTCCTCTCCGATCTCCTGCCACCGCCGAGCTGATGCGCTTTCTCCATGTGTCGCTGCCGCCGTGACATGGACAGGAACTTCCTGTCGCAGTAGAGACAGAGGAGTCTGACCGGCGGAGTGGTGCTGGTGGACGACGGTGGTTTTGACTTCTGCGCCGACGGAGGACTCGAGGATCCCGATGAGAGTCGCGATGTCACCGATTCGCTTGTCGTCTGACAATTTTGAAGCACGGACGCGACTTTGTCCAAGGGTAGACTGCAATGCAGGCCCGTCACGGACAACTCGTGAACGTTGATGCTCGAGTCTTTGGTCTCCTCCACCCTCGACTCGGTCGCGTCGGTCTTCTTCGGTTTCTTGCACTCTTCGGCCTTTTGCTGGTCCTCGTCGACCGCACGATAGACTTCGCTCAACAGATCGTCCAGCAGTTCACCGCACATCGCGCGCACCGCGGTGTTTTCCGAGGCCGCGTGTTCATCACGCGTCCGATTTCCTCTGCCGTCGTCGACATTCGCCCTCTCCTCGACCTGATGTTCACTCAGTCTGTCCATTATAATCGTGCTCAGCGTTCGACTTTCCTTGCTCTCCCGCGAAACGCTTCGGTCATCCTCGGATGATCCTTTCTCCTCAACATTCTCCAGACGTTCTTCCTCCGTCCTCGAGGGAGATTCCTTTGAATCTTGACTAATCCTGACCACCGAATCCTGCGGACTCTCTTCCGTCGTTCCCTTTGTACTCGAGCAGTCTGCAGTTTCTGAGGATTCGGCGCCCTCGGCATTTTCAGCTGTCGACGAGTCCTCTAATCGCGGCACAACGGCCGCCTCGATAGCACCCTCGGTTGAAGGCTCGCACTTGACTGCCATGTCAGTCGGGTCTCCATCCTCCTCCTCCTCCTCCTCTTCCTCTTCCTCCTCCTCGTCAACACCTTTTCTCTGCCTTTCCAGGTCCTCTGCGTCGTTCTTGTCCTCCTCCTCGTCATCCTTGATCACGCCGTTCAGCACCGTCATCACGTATTTCTCCAGAGTCTCCAGATTTTTCTCGACGCTATTCCGATCGTCCTCCTCCTTCTTCGGCGAGTCCGCGCTTCCGCTTGTCGCTCCATCCGGCACCTTCTTGCGCAAGTTGTTGATTACGTTGCTCAGCCGCGACCGCTTGTCCTGGGCGGTCTGCGCCGATGATCTGTAGGCATGACCGTAGCGTTCCTGTAGCTGTTGTTGCTGCTGACGGTCGGCGTTGCTCCCTGCCGCATTGGCGGAATGATCGACGCCCAGATCCTCGAGGCTCTGCGTCGACGCTACCATCCTATCGGACGACGACGTCGAGCCGGATGCCGAAGGGATGCCGGACAACTTCGCCGTGTGATAACCCTCGACCGTGTCGTCGTTCGGTGTCTCGCTACCAGCTGCGTCCGCCGAAGCCGCCTCTAAAAGAGACCCTCCTTGTAATCGTCTCGCTGTTTACGCGACCGCCTCCTTCCGTGCCCCGAAACTCTACCGTGAAACATCGGCGTGTCCTGTATTTACGATACGTTGAAAAATTGATTCGGGAACCGGGGAACTTGTTTTCCAAGTTTCTCAGGCTCCTCCGACAGATATCGCGTAATTTATTTTTGGATCGCGCCAAGATAATTGTTTAAAAACGGACGGCGTGCGCGCGGCGGGGACGATAAATCGTTGCCATTGAGAAACAAGCGAAGTACGACGGCTGTTTATTTATTTAGGGCTGGCGAAGTTTCACGTAATCTCATCGTGCAAATCTCTGTTCACCGGCGCTGCTTAATATTAATCTTAGTTTAAATGATTCCCCGCTTCGGTCGCATCTCGATAAAATGGGTTAGCTAACTCTTAATTATTAATTCTCCGTCTCTTTTGCAATCGCACCAGTGTAAAAATAAAAATTTATTTAACCTGAATTTATATTGCAACATTCTTTTTAGAATGAAAAAAATTAATAACAGAGTGAAATACATTATTAGTGTATGTAGTTAGCGTTAAATGACGTTAATAAAATCAAAGATTATTGTTGCAATATAATTACAATAAAAAACAGTAACAAATGTCATGGTACATTTTAACTCTTTGCGCTCTATAATTTAAAAAAATGAGTGAATAATAAATCCTCTGTTTTTAGTGGTTTTATTATTTAATGTTGTATGTAACATAATACCAGCAAATCTTCATAAATTATTCTTCATAAATTAAGATTTAAAAAATGTAATTTACAAATAGAAAAAAAAATTAGTTCAAAAATCGACAAGTTGCAAGTATAAAATAAATCTTACAAATCACAGATTACATTTCGATTCCTCACACTGAAACCTTCGCGCAGCCCTTCCAGTAGTTTCCATTGTTCGGAAAAAATATATATATTTATCGTTTGCAGGAAAAGAAATTTAAAAAACATTGATAAAAACCGAAGACAAACAGATACCATCCACCGCGAGAAAATCAGAAAGAGAGAAAGAGGGTAAAGGCTCTCCTCGGCTCTGTCTCTGCCGACACTTTTTTATCCGGAAGTCGGGGGAGAAGGGAGGCTGCGAGAATCGATAACCGTCCCTCTGCCACGTCGAAAGGGGTTACGGCTGTACGAGTAGCGTGTGCGCTCCGAAAGGGAGAGAAAGATGGACGGATATACCCGCGCGCATACACACACACACACACCCCTTGAATGTGTGTTTGTGTGTATATGTGCGATACGCGCGCAGACATACACCGCAGCCCCTGACAACAGCCCCGAGGTGGTAAAAACCGGCCGGCTTAGCAATACCCGCGACAATCCCTTTCGACCATCCGGTTCGTTTTGCGAAAAGCGTTGACAACAATGGTAATTAATGGTTTGCCTATCGCGGGCTATTAACGGTACCGATATATAACCGCTCCTCCCCTCTCCCTCCCCCTCTCTTCTCCCCCGCCCATTTTACGCGATATCGATTTATTTCTCGTCCGTCTCTTCTGAGCTTTCCCTCCTCGCGTTTTATACGGTTCCGTGCGACGTGATAGTATATAGATCCGTTGGGACTTTATCATCGTTAGAGAATTGCGAAAGAACCGATCCCGCCAGGAATGTGCAAATTCCAAGGGAGTTCTGAGAATCTCCGGGAGTTTGTTCGAAGTGCCACAAAGTCGCTGTCAATAAAGAAAAAAAAAAAAAAGAGTTACATTTTCGTAATGAATAATATTACCCCTCCTATTGTCAGGGGGAAAGTAATACGATTATCCTACGGCAATTTATCTCTCCATCGTATTTTAATCTCTAAAGTGAGTGGGTAATTTTCGCCATTTACTTCACACGTCTATATGTAGGTAATACGCGAGGCCATGAGGTATTTAATATATTAAGCAGAAACAGTGATCCAAGATAATTACGCCATTATCCTTAATAATAAAAGAGCTAGAAAAAACTAGGCACGAAAACGTGTCATATGTAATAATCAGTAAAAAAAAAAAATAATAATAATTTACCAATGGATTATTCATCACGTATCCAGTTAAAGTCAAATACATCTCGCCGTTTCTCCTTATTTACATTTTCTCGTCGGTATGAAAATTTCTCCATCTCCTCGTAGAATACTTTCCTCGGAAAATTGCATCAGACATAATTTCCGAGGAAATTCTCCTCGTCCGGGGGAATAATTTCAGGAGTAATTTCTAGAAATAATCCCAAGAAAATTTTCTGCGGAATTTTTTTCCTTCCAGAGAGGGAAAGGCCGTCGGGAAAAATTCTGTGGAAAACGTTCCTGCTCGCGGAGACATTTTTCCCCGCATCGAACACCTCCGTAGCTCGAGATAAGGAAAAGACGTAGCATTCCAATATGCCGATAAGTATATCAATGATCCTGAAAGAAACTCGGAGAATTCGGAGCATCGAAGATTGCGGCCACGCGATTTACCTCGCGATTCACAAAGCCCGTTTTGAGTTTGATAAGTATGGATCGCCGCGAATCATATACGAATCCGAACTCGCCGCGGACACGTCCGTTTTCATCACGGGATTCCGCGTGTCTTCTAATCGAGAGATCGGCGTCGGTCGCGACGCGGCGCGTCGCTCGAGGTGTTCGTCGCCGCGCGAGATTCGTCGGGCGCGGCGCGGCCCGATAATTAGTTATAGTCGCGGGCGCGTCTACGTCGCCGCAGCCGCCAACGGGCTCACAGCTCGATTACGATCTCGACCAGCGTGACTACTTTCAAAATCCCGCGTGCGTTTTGTATACACAGCCGCGCGCCGCGCGGGCCCGTGCATGGATGTGACGGAGGCCGTCGCGGCCGCGTTGCGTTGCGCAACGCGACAACGGAGCGCCGTGAGCGCGATGTGCCACGCCACAGCCGCGAGCGAGCGAGCCGCGCGCCTCGCGACGCGACGCGACGCGACGCCGCGAGGTTCGCGGCGCGAGGATACGCCGTATCTATACGTCCGTGTGCGTACGCGTATGTACACGCACGAGACCGACCACGGCCGCAACGCCGTTTACTCACTGCCACGCCAAAGGTGATTAGGTAATAATAAGGATAATGAGGTTGAAATTAACGGGTTTTAGCGTATCTACATCGTTTTGATTAGGAAAACGAGTTCTTGCGACGCGTAAAGGAACGAAAGAAGTCGAGCTGTGCGTGCAATTCCCGAAGCACAATCGCTCGAGGATATAGCGTGACTCGACGAATACGCATTGCAATAAAAAAAATCGTTCGGCATCGTGTAAATGCAATTTATTTGTGTTTCTTTTTTTGTTTTTTTTTTTTTCTAAATAAAATCTGTTAAAAATTTTTTTTGCCACAAAAAACTACATTGTTGTTTACAATTTTGATATAATTGAATTTATATTCAATCTCCTTCTCTCTCTCTTTCTCTCTCATTGTCTCTGAGACTTTGCGGAAAAGGAGGGGTTCTTGGACATACGTCCTACCGCTTCGCGGATGCAGATGTAAACGTCATACCTGCCTCGTCGGAGCCTTGAAAACAATCATTACGCCATCGTCATCCGACAGTTCGCGTTTACGGCCGTGTGCACGGGGATCGACGATTGAATCGCGAATCTTATGATGCGAACCCGGCTCACTTTTCTTCGATCGATAATTAACATAAAAGTAAACGCGCAAGGTTTCGTTCCGCCACTTCTGCCTATATATATTACGTTAATTCAACTCGCAGCGTTTAAATATCCCTCGATCGGGCCAGCCTAAGACCGTTCAAGAAAAAAAATTCGGAACCTCGCATGAAATGCGAAACGAGTGGAGATATGACACTCCGCGTATTAGAAGAAGAATTCATCATTATCTGTTGTTGACTCGACGCGATCCTTAAACTAATGAGCGAGCGAGCGAGCTGCTCTCTCGCGCCTGTTTTCTCGCCGCGGAAAGCAGGCTCCTCGCGATTTAAATAGCTATTAACGTGTCGTCATGAATTAACATTTATCCCATTTCTATACCCACATCAGCTGTGTTGTTTATCACCGTACGTTGTTCCGCTCTTACGCGAACCGCGTACATTTTTAACCGTGACTCTGGGAAGGCAGAGATAAAGTGCTGAGAAAAGTTACGCGGACTCACCTCTGCTGGGTGCCGGTGGGGCCCTTTTCGGGGTGTCGTCGGCAGAGGGTGTTCTTTCCCTCATGCTTGCCCGTTGAATGCCTTAGCATCATCATTTAGTTCTGAAACACGAAATAGGACAAAACACGCGTAAATCAACGACGTCACAGAAAGTGTCAGTAATCGTAGTTTATTATTAATGACGACGAATGGATCAACGAGTAAAAACAATCGAGATCGTGGGGCAAAAGCAATTAAGCCAACAAATGATACTTTTACATAATTTTCGGGAGTGAGAGAAAGATGAGAAAAGGGAGAAAAATGGAACTCAAGGTCTGTCAAGGAAGGTATCTCAAGGAGTCTAATTTTTCCTACTTAATACCGTATTTTCTTACGTCTGTCTTCGTTGATCACGCAGAGGCGAGTTCAACTTTCCATTTGTTCGCTTAATAAATAGAATACGAGGCAAAAAGTGATATGAATAATTCTACTGACTCGATGGCGATTAATCAATCGCGATTGGCAAAATACGCATTTTAATCGCTCGAAGAAATCGTGGCCTTGGGGCGTCAGTTAGTCACGCGGAAGTTCCGATACTCGCACCAGACACGCGAGAGCCCAAGATTTGGGCGAAAATCGGCAAGAGAGAATATGATAGGAAGGGGAGAAAGTGAGAAGAAAGAAGAAAGACGAGGACGATGGAGAAAGGTGTTTACCTTCGCCGAGGGCCGAGCCAACGTCGACCTCGGAGGCAGCGCATCTCCGCATCGTCCGTCCCGGTCAAGAAGAAAATCTTTTCAAGCAACAATGGAATGAAAACATGGAATAGAACGTTTCTCACCTATTCTCACTGCAAATACCTTTTATCTCGCACGATATCAAAAGAAAGAACAAAACAGAAAAAAAAACAGGAACAGAAAAAGAAGAAAAAAATAATCGCAAAAACGGCATCTTTACACTGTCCATTGTCAAACATTCCTCTTTCTTTCACCCGTAGAAACAAACTCAACATTAAATTATTTCTTAAACATCTTATAATATTAAATTATTTCTTAAACATCTTATTATAATATCCGCAGGCATTCATGAAGTAATAATTACTCCCATAAAGCCTTCTCTTCTTGCAACTTTTAAGAGTTAAAAAGCCTTGTAGACTTTTAAAGCAGCCGCCTCGGCCGTCGCATTACGTAACTCAAGAGGAAAAATAGGAAATCGTGAGAATACGTTACTTACTTAAGGGCTGTGAAAAAAGGAATTTTTAATGATGGCAAGCGCACGGATATTGTCTCGCGCTCTCGCTTCCACAATTCCGGCGAAGGAGACCGCAAAGTCGAGGAAATGTAATACCTGCTATACGGAGATCTATCGTGCGATCGTGTGGACTTCCAGGATTAAGCGATAAACATTTAAGTGGGAGGCGAGGCGCGACGCCGAAGAAGGGAAAAACGCCGGCAGAACGGAAACCGCGCGGTGCGACAGAGAGAAAATAGGTGGAGGAGAGGAGAGAGATCGGAGCCGTGGGGAGAGCGCCCCGCTGTCCTGGGTGGAACTTAAAATATCGAGCGTCACGCACATCGACGCTGGCGCCGGAAACACGGGAAACGCGGCGTCGCGACGCGACCCGCCACGTCGGCTTGACGCTCGTCGCCGTCGTCGTCGTCGTCGTCGTCGTCAGGGAGAACCTGGAAATAGAACTCGGACGCCACTATAGGCGCGAGAGGCGGGCACCGCCTCTACTCGAGGCCCCATGGGAGTCGGTTGGAATTTTCAACAGGTAAAAAAGTGGAAATTCCGCCGCCGATCGCGAGAACTCGTCGCCGGGGCACGGCGGGGCGTGGAAATATCTAAACGATCCGGAGGATCACCGGCGACGTTAATTTCGAGTGCATAGGATGCATCGGTTGATATAACGCGATAACAGAGACGATTGTACGCGATGTGTTCTTGGGGCGCACGAAGGCTGCCGAAGAATATCTATCTGCAGGGATGAGGCAATAAGGAGCGATTTCTCTTGGATATGTCACTTCGTCCTGGTCCCTCGTATATAATGAATCGATATTTTCGGAAGGTTGCACCACGCTATTAATCTCATTGTACATATAGTAAAGAAATCGATGCTTTTCAGGCGCCGCCGCGAAGGAATTCGACGTCTCCAGCGAAAGCAGCCGTGAGGATTAATAATACTTCAAGCGAGGATGGAGATAGCAGCAGCGTCGGTGCCTCCTATTGATATCTTATACATCTATAAATATTACGTTATTGTAGCTAAACGCGAGACGAGATTAGATCTAAGACAGCTAATACACTCTACAATTTGCTTTAATTTTAACAGGAGAGTTATAACGTGAGTACCTCCTCCTTACTTGAGCGAGTATAATTCCGTGACAATCAACCCTTTAATTAAATAGCGCGCGCGCGCTACTATCATATATATAAACGTTAACCAAATTCATTAAATGTTATATTAATGAGCCACAATTTCGTCCCCTTACTAATTTATCCGTATTAAATTCCACAGAACATTCAAGAGCACTGAAAGTCACTTAAGTGTCTAGGAAATCCGCTGTCAAAATATTTTTCATCGTACCGTGTCGGCGAGTTCGAATCAACAACCAAATATCTGATAAATCATCGTCCCGACTTCTCATCGTTCGCGGAATGCGGAAAAGCGACATTTCCTGATGGAAAAGTCCGCGCGTATGCGACTTTTATCCTTCTCTCGGCTCCTTTTTCCTCTTTCCACATTCAGAAAATCCGATGCCGGTCGACGGTTTTTGCCGCGGATAAAAACAATAAAGAGATACGAGTTTCCATGGCGCGAGCAATTTTTTCCCGTATAATCGCGGTATTCCGGTTAATGTCTTATTCGTTGGATCTTTAATTATCGAATATGTCCCCCACGATTGAATGCCATTACGACGACAAGTTGACGTGAGTGGCTCTCTTCGTGCGCGCGATAGAAAAAAAATCATATTAGCTTATCGACCGATGATTATCGCCGAGATAGATACATTTTGAATTATTAAAGCAGCGGTAAAATAAAAATATTTATAATTGACCATCGCGTATTATAATCAACCGGCGTGCGCGACACGTTTTCCATATTTATAATATACCGAATATATATTTATAAGTATCGAACATTAAAGCCGTCGAGATTATGATTTAACGTCTGCTTCGAACGAGCATCTCCTTTTAATAACGTATAAAGCTCTTGTCAGATTTTATATTAAATTTGCGAAAAAGCGATCGAACGCCTGCAGGGGTCGCCCGCGTTACAGGAAACTTATATATCGATTATTATTCGAGGAATAAAGAAGCTGCTGAGAAAATATTGACAATCCACGGAGATAAAATTATCACGGCGTTAATTTAATTTCGTTGAATTATCAATCGGGCTCGCGCACTTAATCGCAGATTATTTCGGGCCCGCGTTACAGTCGCTATCTATACGCCGGTGATAACAATGTTGTTGGATTGCATTCGTGTATTCTCTCGATTACGGGCACTAAACACAAAGTGCAATTAATTCTTTCACGTGTGTGTATATATATATATATATATATATATGCGGTATTTTAAGCCGCCGTTTTATGAGTGTCGACACACAAAATAAACGGGGGATAAATCGTTAATCAGAAATTTAATACACACGCACTAATTTCTCTCTGTACTACGCTACGCGAGCATTAAACAATAATTTCGCAATGTGTATTAAGTATTAATACGGTATTAATTTATTACTAACGTGCAGCACGATAATTTCACGTAAATTAGTTGAGTGCATTGTCGCGTTTTATTGTTCCAACTGCCAATAAGCGATTTCACAGGCGCCTCCCGCGCGGCTCTCTCTTTAAAGTCCTTTTTTCTTCGCCTCTCTTTCTCTCCTTTCTCTCCGCGTGAGATCTCCTTCAAGCTCGGGAGCTTTCGAAAGCTCGGCGCGCGAATCGTCGGTCAGAATATTGCCAATTACCAGTCCTAACGAGGGGCGCGGAAATTGATAAATTAATTCCCGATTTAAGTTAACGCTAATTACCCCGATCTTTTATCTGCGAACGGGAGTCTGCGAACGTCTGCATGTTCTCTTTTTTTTTTCTTTTTACCTCGGCCCTTAACTCGCAGAGATGCACGCCCCGAAGGACGTAATAAATCTCGGCAAAACTGAAACCCTATTTAGGAAAGTTCGGAAGAGCCATAACTTTCTTGCGCGCCTTCCTTATGGGTTTTCCCGATTCTTCCCAACTATCGCTCTCCCGGCGCTCCTTCCATCTCCCCCTCCCCCCGCCCGCCTCACCCCCCCCCTCCCGGCTACGAACATCGATCGACCGTATTTCCATGGCAATGTAAACGTAATCCAAGCGTGCATAATTAATACTGCTTGCTCTAATGTTGTAGAGAGCCCGTATACTTGTTGATACGTCCATTTACGTCGCGTTTTCTTAATCATCCATCGAAACATATAATTTATATCGGACAGTTGTCGGCTATGTCCGATATAAATATACGGGGCTGTTTCCCAAATCGGCTCGCCAAATCTGTGTTTACCTTGACCCGACCGTTACTCCCAATACAATGGAAAAGGTCCCTCTTTCCCGAGGACGGGTAACGGCGAGAAATATTTTTCACGATAAACGTGCGTTAAGGAAACGCACAGTGTGTTCACGGTATACAAATTGACCGCGGCACGACGAGGCGACAATAGCACCGCAAATTATATGTCTGCCTCTATGCAATGAATAATGGTTCGCATTTGTTATTCAAAAAATCACCGTCTACAACTACGAACTCATCGAGCGACACGTTGATGAAGACACGTGCATTCGGGAAGTATAGCAGGTTGTAGAATCTTGATGCGCTGCACGATTAAATCTGCCGTTTGGAAATCAGCGGAAAATAAAAAGATATCTCATGCACGGAAAGAACAATTTTGTGCCAAGGGATCTAAAAATTCGGCTGGGTCACAGATCTGAAAATAATTTTGCATAGGAAATTTAAACTGGTTGCTATAGAATATCAAAACGTTTCGTCGCAGCAATGCTCATCATTTTTGATAGCTTCCAATAAAATTATTTTCAGCTCCGTAATATCGTTGTTCTTTCCATTCTAAATCAAGAATAAAGCA